GTGGGTTTATCTCTGGGTTTTCTGTCTTGTTCCATTGGTCTATATTTCTGTTTTTGTGCCAGTACCATACTGTCTTGATGACTGTAGCTTTGTAGGATAGTCTGAAGTCAGGAAGGTGGATTCCTCCAGCTCCATTCTTTCCCAAGACTGCTTTGGTTATTCGGAGGCTTTTGTGTTTCCATATGAATTGTGAAATTTTTTGTTCTAGTTCTGTTGAAAAATGTCATTGGTAATTTGATAGGGATTGCATTGAATCTGTAGATTGTGTTTGGTATGTAGTCATTTTCACAATATTGATTCTTCCTAACCCAGGAACATGGACTATTTCTCCATCTGTTTATGTCATCTTTGATTTCTTTCATCAATGTCTTGTAATTTTCTGTGTACAGTTCTTTTGTCTCCTTAGGTACCCTGGATTTTTAAGTTACGTGAACCCTACCTTTCCATGGTCACCCCTCCCTTCCTTTCTTAAGCCAATTTGAGTAGCATTTCTGTCACTTGCTCAACTGTTTGACTTACCCGCCATCATCTCCATCAAGGGTTAGCTTAAGCCATGTGAAATTGCTGTCTTTATAGGTAAAAAATGACTGAACATCAACAATTTCATCTGGATAAGTTATTTAAACACTCCAAAGACAGGGAGCTCACTATATATTATGACAGCTCAACTGACAATTAGATAAACTTAACCGACAAGAACTTCCCTGGCAGTCCACTGCTCAGTTGCGTCCAACTCTCTGTGACCCCGTGGACTGTAGCCCACCAGGCTCCTCTGTCCATGGGATTCTCCAGGCAAGAATACTGGAGTGGGTTGCCATGCCCTCCTCCAGAGGATCTTTCCGACCCAGGAATCAAACCCACATCTCCTGCGGCTTCTACATTGCAGGCAGATTCTTTACCACTGAGCCACCTGGGAAGCCCAGTGGTTACGATATCTTACTTCTAATGCAGGGTGTATGAGCTCAAGCCCTAGTTAGGGAACTAAGATACCACATGTTACAGAGCCAAAAAAGAGAAAACAAGCTAACCAACAGAAAATTATTTTTCTAAAATGAAAATCTATACCCTGGTCCCTTCACCCTGAACACACCTCACGCCCAGGCTGGCACTTGACTGCAGACTCCAGGAAGGGGTCTCCCTCCAGGGTCTTCATTCTTCTGTAATGCAGCCTAAACATCCAAATTATTTTTCAGATGTTCTATCTTAAGCCATGTTTCCCCAACTTGTTCTAGATTGTCTCAGACTAAGTTCAGGACCTTGTATTTAGCCCCAGTGAATTTCACTCTGTTCTCTATAGCCCACCTTCCCTGAAGGTTGTAGGGAATGACCACCATTGCCCATTAGGTCAGAGTCTTTGTCAATCACTTTCTCTGTAGCACACCAGTATGATGGAAATTCAATTCCAAGATCTGTATGAACCTCTTCCAGCATTGTGGACCCTGCAGGTTTGAGAAGCATGCCTTCTCTATACGCAGCTGAGTCATCCCTGCAAATGTTAAAGGGACAGAGCTGAGAGTTCAGCCCAAAGGAGAGTGTGTGGTTGGACAGGGACTCATTAGCTGTTGCGTTTTGTTAAGTCAGTCACGACTTCTGTGTCCCGGGCTAGCACATTTCAGCATTTCTGTAGGAAGTCACATGACATCTGCCACGTGTCTTACTGAAACCTGTAAGAGGGCTCCTCGTTACTGGGTACGCTGTATCTCATTCCTGAAGGGAAGAGGAGCAGTGTGTTACTTGGGATAAATGAAGCCACGGTAATACACAGACCCAAATACTCAATAGCTAACGGCAACGGAATTCCATCCGTAGCTTAGGTAGGCACCCAGGGCACTCAGGTTGGGACTCTCATCTGGGCAGCCAGTGGGACCCGGGTGCCGCTCTCCAGGGCTTCGCCGGCGTCCAGCCCGGAGGAGCACAGAGCATAGAAGAGCACAGGCAGGGAGTTCTTGTGGGTCGGGCCTGAAAACAGCCCATCACTGCCGCTCACTCAGCAAAGCCATGTCCAGCCAAGCAGGCGGCAGGAGGATGCTGTTGAGCTAAAAGCTTAAAGACAGGGAGGATGGATTTGGTGAAGAGCTAATAGAGTATGCTACAGGCAACTAATGGCATCATGCCACAAGATTAATCACTAAAAATCGACCTCACCCACGCACATCCCTTCCTGAAAAGCCAAGCTTCTGTGCCTGTCTCGGGGGTTGAAATCTTTGCCCAGTACCCTCTCTAGAGTAATCAGGCTACAAGAACACAGCGCACACACAAGGGAAATAACATCAGCATTGACGGCAATGCGGAATGTCCGTCTTGCAAAAGAAACAAGATTTCAAGATTAGGAAAGCCATTTTGGGAAACTGCCCTCGTCATTGGCAAAGTCACTGACACATGAGGAAATGGCAGTGTTAGATCAGGAGGATGGGGTCCACGAAGACACTGTGAGTGAGAAGATACTAATGACGAAAGAGTAAGGGGCACCTGGGAAAAAATCAACAAACTGCTCAAATATTTTTGCTGAAGTTATACCGTTTGTTTTTAAAAGTTTATTTTTGGATGCTCTGCGTCTTTGCTCCTGTGTGTTCTGGCAAGCAGGGGCTTCTCTTCGCTGTGGAGAATGGGCTGTAGGTGCCCAGGTTCAGTAGTTGCAGCTCGCAGGCTCCAGACGTCAGGCTCAGTAGTTGCGGCGCACAGGCTTAGTCGCCCACCCCCAGAGGGTGGGATCTTCCCGGCCCACGGGTCGAAACTGTGTCCTCTCAGTTGGCAGGCAGATTCTTAATCACTGGACCACCAGGGAAGTCCCAAGTTATACAGATTATGACTGTGCTATAAATGTCAAACCGTATTTGAAGAATTTCATATTACATGATATTAATGGGGCATCAGAAAAAGATTCTTCCACAGTCGATCATTTTTGCAGTGGTGGGTGTTGCTAGTCTAACGAGCTGGTGGCAAAACTCTTCCCCAAGGCCCTTCCCCAAACGTTGGGGAGTCCCCAGCTTTGTCTTGGTCCTCTTCCTTTCCATGTTTTCCACGTCCTAAGTGACCCCACCCAGTCCCCTGGCTTTAAATATCATCCAGATGCTGCTGACTCTCGAATTCATATATGTGGACCTGGCCTTCAGATGGGGATCCTCCTATCTACTCGACACCTCCACTTGTGTGGTTAACAGCCTCGCAGACTTAGATGTCCAAAAACACACTTCATTTTTAAAAATGTATCCTATTGAGGTACAGTTACAATGTTGTGTCAGTTTATACCATACAGCAGAGGGATTCAGTTATACACGCATGCACTCTTTTCCATATCCTTTTCCTTTATGGGAACTGAGTTTTGCTTGATGTGCAGTACAGTAGGACCTCGCTTATTCACTCTATATGTGAAAGTTCGCATCTGCCAATCCCAAACTTCCCGCCCCACCCCTCCCTCACCCACCCGTGGCAACCACAGGTCTGTTCTCTATGTCTGTGAGCCTATTCCTGTTTTGTAGATAAGTTCATTTGTGTCATAGTTTAGATTCCATGTATACGTGATATCATATTTATCATTCTCTGTCTGACTTCACTATGGATGCTAATCTCTAGGTCCATCCACGTTGCTTCGAATAGCATTATTTCATCTTTTTTATGACCAAGTAATATTCCATTTTATAAAGGTACCACCTCTTCTTTATCCATTCACCTGTTTATGGACATTTAGGTTACAAGAACACACCTCTTAACTGCAAATTTTTTCAAGTCTTCCCTGCATCACTCAGTAAATGACACCACCTTTTAGACACTTTTCAAGTCAAAATCTTGACAGTCATTCTTAATGCCTCTGCCTCTGCCCATTCCCACATCTAATGAAAGAGTGTCATCGGATTTGTCTTCAAAATACGCTCTCAATCAACTCAGCCCATCTCCCCGCTGCCACTTAGCCTAGGGGCCACATCCCTTGCTTGGGCCCCTGTGACAGCCTCCTAATTCGTGTTCCTGCTCCCACTCTTGCCTTCATGGCCATCCCATTTCCGCAGAGCAGCCACGATCATCTTTTGAACATATAATGGATCTTGCTCTTCCTCAACGTCAATCCCTCCAATGGCTTCTCATATCACACTAATAATAAAATCCAAGCACTTTCCGGTGGCCCCCCAAGCCCCACACAAGCTGATGTGTCACCGTGTTCATTTCAACACCGCCTCCTCCCTGTTCACCCTCTGGCCATATTGAGGGCGGGCCAGCCAGCCCCCTTCTCAGGGTCTGTGCCGTCTCGATCACTCTTTCCTGCAGCTCCGTCTCGATCACTCTTTCCTGCCGAGTGTGACTGCCTCACTTCTCCTCCTCCTCAAATGTCAGCTCACACACCACATTCACAGAGAGCCTTCTCCAGTTCCTGCCTGAGGCTGCCCCCACCCTCACGCCTCTTGATTATCCTATTTTTGTTGTTGTTGTGTTATAGCCACGCATTCCGGGAAACAAACTCACTCAGAAGGACGATGCAGACAGTGGAGTGCAGTTTATTACACTGGCGGGCCCAAGGCAGAGTCTCCTCTTAGCCAAGGACCCCAACCAGCATTTGTGAAAATATTTTATACCCCCTGTGTACGTGTCTGAACCCACCACCTCAAATTCCTTGAGACTTACATAAACAAAGGAAGGGTAAATACTACCACAATAACCCTATCATTCATGTGTTATGTGTTCAAACAGTTAATAAGCCCGCAGTTACATTCCAACCAGTTAATAATCGATAAGCCTGTGGTTACATTCCAATAGATATGGAAAGTTTATGACCTGTCAGGAGGCAGGGGTGATTAGATTATGTTTTCTCTTAGGTGATGAGTAACCTGGATATGATCTTCAAGGTTGCCCTGTGCAGAGGGGGTCTTACCCTTCTGTTGTTATTTCCATAGGCACTGAGCACAGAGTTCAGAGTCCATTGGAGTGGTGGCTGAGCTCGATCAGCATGGACAGGCCTGAGATGGAGTCCTGGCCCTATGAATTCCTTCTTCATTCCCCCCTCTTCATGCTCGTAGTTTCCGTAACGAGCATCATTCATTGAGATGTATGTTGTCCCTCATCCTCCTAGTCACCCACACGAGAGAACACTATCAACGTCCGGGTTACAAAATTCACAAGGCATTGTAGGAAGCAGGGCCCACAAAAGAGTGTGATTAAGACTACTATAACAACGGTTACAGTGGTTTTCCACCAGACTCCCCTTACCCAGGACAGGACCAAAGTCCAAAAGGGAATATTTTCCTTAGACATGGCTTTCACTTGATTTTGCATATCCTCCAAGGCAGTAGATACATTTCCAGACAGGTCAGGAATGTATACACAACATTCGGCTTTAATTATGGCGCAAGTCCCCCCTTGGGCTGCTGTGAGTATGTCTAATGTATCTTATTTTGAATTACTGCTTTCCTCATCTGAATTTGTTCTTCGTTCAAGGCTTGAGTGGCCTTTGAACTGTCTAAGAGGGCCTGTTTAGTGAAATTAGTTAAGGCCTCTGCCCTAACCATGATATCCGTTGTCCCTATAGAGGGTACAAACAAGGCAGAAGATAGTCATACCATTGGAACATGGATCGGGTCCATCTTGCATGCAGATAGGGCAGGTTTACTGGAGGCTGGTGTAGGCTAGGCTTAATACTGCCATGGGCGAAAGCAAATCCTAGTGTGCAACGTCCCACCCAGCCAACTGGTAACCATGCCCGTAAGTTAAGCCCACAGAGCCACTGGGTCCCATTGGGGGCGACCCAGCGGATTCTGGGATTATATTTCCAGTCGGAACCGGGCCACTGAGCAGACCGATTGGGGTGATAGGTAACTTCCAAGATTTGTTTACATTGTTCAGGGGACAAATAACACATATATTTGAATACTTTTGGGTCTGGGGCGGCCTCCAAATCCAACTTTGTGTGCTTTTTGTTCCCAGCAAATAGTAGCAGGAGCAATCAACTGTCCTTTCTCAGGAGTCATCCAGAAATGTTCATCCCAGACCTGGTAGTATTGCTCAAGGTACCGGGAGGCCTGCCCCCCTTCTGTAAGGGAGCCCCTCTCCTTTTTATTTTTCATATATGAGGTATAAGCCCCTGTTACCTCCATAAGACTAGTGTTCATGTTAAATGTAACCCTATGTCCCTGGCCCATTGATGGCTTTTTCTTACACCAGGAGAGCAAAGAAAGGTTATGGTTGGTGAGAGAGAGGAAAGTTCCTTTCTGTTGCTCTAAGAAGGAGCACAGTGGTATAAAGTCCCCATAGTGGAGTGGCGATACCCACCAAGGGAGTCCGTCCATTACTGACAGGGGCATAGCCCCGCATACCCAACAGTTGGAGGGGTTGTGGAAGTCCGCGTAAGAATGTGCCCATGACATGAAGACGTTGTCCTGTGCAGGAACAGTCAGGTTCAGAGTTGTGTTGGTGAGGCCGAGCAGCAGGAGTTGTTTACCCAGCTGCATCCTGTAGAGGTCTCGCCCGGGACCTCGGTTTCTTCTTCCTCTTCAGGATGATCTTGGTTCCCCGTGGGTTGGTGAGGTCCTTCTGGGTGGTCCACTCGGCGTCTTCCAGGTCAGCGTGGTATGCCTTCTTCCCTCTGGTGTGATGGATCCAAGGGGCAATGCCTGCAACGTTAACTGCAGTAGGGGTGCTTAAAACAACAGTATAAGGACCTTTCCACCGGGGGGCTAGTAAGTCATGTTTCCAGTCTTCCATCCATACCTGGTCCCCTGGTATAAACTCATGCATTTGCTCCTCCAAGGGGAACAGTATTCTTTCTTGCACAAACTTAGTTACTTGATTAATTACCTTACCTAGTTGTTCCATCTGCTGTGGTATCCCGTCTCCTCTTACCTGAAGTATATCAGTTGTTACCTGTCTTATTATGGGAGGAGGCCTCCCATACACAATTTCGCAGGGAGAGTAGCCGTGGGATCGTAGGGCATCCTGAGTTTGAGCTAGGCCATGGGAAGTAAATCCACCCAGGAACAGTCAGTCTCTATAATCCATTTAGAAAGTGTCTCCTTTAGCATCTGGTTAGTTTGTTCTACCATTCCGGAGCTCTGAGGCCGGTAGGCAGTGTGTGACTTCCATTCTATATTCATGGCCTTCCTTACTTGTTGTATCAGATCCAATATGAAGGCTGGGCTGTTATCTGACCCTATGCTGGTGGGGAATCCAAATCGAGGAACTATCTCCCTAAGCAGGCTCCAAGCCACTTTTGATGCTCTTTCAGTTCGGGTGGGGAAGGCCTCCACCCATCCCGAGAATGTACATACCAAGACCAACAGGTAACGAAAATGGCGATATGGTTTCATCTCAGCGAAGTCCACTTCCAGATGTTCGAAGGGAAGGGTACCTATTAGTTGGATACCTGGGGGTTTTGGTCTGCACCCTGGAGCGGCGTTAATCTGAGAACAGGCGTTGCAATTTTGGGATTCCGTTCTACATTGAGAGGAGAGGCGAGGAACCAGAAAATACCTTCAGATCAATTCCTCCAATTTGTCATGTCCTAGGGGAGTCGTACGATAAGCTGGGCTCACCAGAGAGGGGGCCATCTCTTCGGGCACTAGTAGCTTACCACCTGGTAGCTCCCACCATCCTTTCTCTGTTTTGGTGGCCCCCTCTGCTTCAGCTAGCTGGTTTTGAGCCTCGGTGTATGTCGGGGAGTCTAGGGCCAGCTCGGGTAGCTCAGCTAGGACAAATGTTCTCATGGGGATTTGCCCGGATTCTTTCTGTCCTTGGCTGCCTGTCTGGCGGTCTTGTTAGCCAGCCTATTTCCTCGAGCCTGTGGGGTGTCTTCCTTCTGGTGCCCACGGCAGTGCACGACTGCTACCTCCATGGGGCTCCAGACAGCGTCTAGCAGAGTCAGGATCTCCTCCTTATTCTCAGTGTCCTTTCCACTGGCTGTTAGAAGGCCTCTCTCCTGGTATAGCGACCAAGTACGTGGAGTGTAGCGAAAACATACCGGGAGTCGGTGTAGAGTTCACCCTCTTGCCCTTTGACAACTGCAGTGCCTGGACTAAGGCCCATAACTCAGCTCATTGGGCTGACCAGTGCTGTGGCAAGGGGCCAGCCTCGATAACAGTCCTCTCTGTAACTACAGCATAGCTTGACAGTCACTGTCCTAGCTTCGTCAGGCTGGTGCCATCAGTATAGAGAGTCCAGTCAGGATTTGAAATTGGCCTGTCTCAGAGGTCTGGATGGCTAGCATAGACCTCCTCCAAGACTTCCTTGCAATCGTGGGTAGGTCCACCTTCTCCTGTTGGAAGAAGCATTGCCGGGTTTAAACCCTGGCAAGGATCAATACGGAGGTTGGGGTTTTCACATAGCAGCCCCTGGTATTGAATAATCCAGGAATTTGACAGCCATTTGTGGGGGTCTCCTCGAAGGAGAGTGTTGACTTCATGTGGGATCTTTACGATCAGGTCCTGGCCGAATGTCAGCTTTGTGGCTTCATGTACCAGTAAGGCGACCGCGGCCACTGCCCACAGACAGCTAGGCCACCCGGTGGCAACATTATCAAGCCGCTCTGAAAGATATGCTATTGGCCTGTCCCATGTTCCCAAGGTTTGAGTCAAAACCCCCATGGTTGTTTTATCTTTCTCAGTCACATATAAGGTGAATGGTTTGGTGAGGTCTGGCAATCCCAAGGCAGGGGTGGAGGTGATTGCTAGTCTTAGCTCCTCAAAGGCTTTCTGCTGTTTCTCAGTCCAGTTTACTGGATTCTCTTCTGTCAGGAGCTCAAATAGGGGCTGGGCTATTTGAGAATACCTTGGAATCCAAATCCTGCAGAATCCAGTGGCCCCTAGGTACTCCCTGACTTGCCGCCGAGTCTTAGGCGTGGGGAGCCTCAGAATTACTTCCTTTCTAGATTGGTTTAGCAACCTTGTGCCTTCCCTTAAGACAAACCCCAAATACCTTACCTCCTCCTTGCAGATTTGTGCCTTTTTCCTCGACACTCCTTATCCCGCTTCTGCCAGCAATTGGAGGAGCACTTGGGTCCCTTCCCAGCATTCCTCCCAGGTCTCAGCGGCCAGCAACAGGTCGTCCACATATTGCAGGAGCCAATATCCATACCTTTCAGGCTGGAAAGGTTCCAGGTCTGAGGCCAAGGCTTCTCCGAAGATGGTTGGGGTGTTTTTGAACCCTTGCGGGAGGTGAGTCCAAGTGAACTGCTGCTTGTTGCCTCCGATGGGGTCCTCCCATTCAAAGGCAAAGATGGGCTGTGACACAGGTGCTAGGCGTATACAGAAAAAGGCATCTTTGAGGTCCAAGCAAGTATAGACCCTTGTCTTAGGTGGGAGGCAGCTAAGCAAGGTTATAGGCATTTGGGACAGTCGGGTGCAGAGTTACAGTGGCCTGACTGACCAATCTGAGATCCTGTACGGGCCTATAGTCTTGTCCTCCTTCCTTCTTTGCTGGTAAGATTGGTGTGTTCCAGGCTGATTGACATTCCACCAGGATGCCTGCCTGCTTAAGCCTATTGATGTGAGGCAGAATCCCGATCCAGGCTTCTGTAGGTATTGGGTATTGACGCTTTCTCACCGGGGTGGTGCCTGGTTTGAATTCTATTATTATAGGGGCTTGGTGTCTGGCTAGCCCAGGGGGGTTATCTTCGACCCAGACCTCAGGGAACAGCTGAGTCAGCCTTCTCTCCAACCCTGTTGCCTGGTCTTGTTTATCTCCAGGGGGCTCATGTAGCCTCCATTCGTCCTGAGGGGGCACAGAGAGGGAGGGTAAGTAGGCTGTTGTGCCCACCCAAAAAGTGGGCCTCTCTTCAGGAGAGAAAGCCACTCGTGCTCCCAGCTTGGAGAGTAAGTCTCTCCCCAGCAGGGGTACTGGGCACTCAGGGATATAGAGGAACTCATGAGTCACTTGGTGACCCCCCATCTGACATTTCCTGGGCTGGAGAAATGACTTAACCATTTCTTCTCCCGAAACCTCAGTTACAGCAGCGGTCCTTTTAGACAGTGGCGCCACATGTTTAGTTACCACGGACAATTCTGCCCTGGTGTCCACCATAAAGGCAATGTCTTGGTCCCCAATTTTCAAAGTTACCATGGGCTCTTGGGGACCTGATGTCTTTGAGCAACGGCATCCCTATTCAGTCTCTATGTTAGTGAGTTCTGCAGCCGGGAGGGGTTTATTCTCCCTTCTTCCTTCTGGGCACTCATCCTTCCAATGACTGAACCCATGGCATTGGGCACATTGATTTGGCTGTAATGGAGCCCGAGGCCTCCGTTGGGACTGGTTGGAGGGCTGTCCTGGCCTCGAAGCTGGGGGGGCTTCTTTGCTTGGCCGGGGAAAAAGCCCCCGAAAAACTTTCAAACCCAACAACCAACAATGCAAAACCCCCAACCGGTCCCCCCCGCCCCGCCTTAAGCCCCCTCCCAGAATTCCTTTCCAATTCCCGGGCCCCGCCCCGGAAAACCCTAACCGCCAATTCAAACAACCGAAAAACAAAAAAGGGGAAAAACCCCTCCGGCCTTTGAAACCTTCCATTTAAGGCAAGAAAGGCCTGCCAAAAAAAAGCCCAAATGGGAAAAAACCGGGAACCCCGAACCTCCGGAACCAAGGGGGGAAAAAAGCCGGAAGCCCCAAAAAAGCCCCTCGAAAAATCCGAAAGGGAACCCGTTCCCCTCCGAAACAATCCCGCCAACCTAAAAAAGGCCAACCGCCCCCGGGCCCCCCCTTTAATTCGTTGTATAATCGCCGTCTGGTATCTGTCTAATTGGATTTTTCTTTCCTCTGTGTTGTAGTCCCAATTAGATCTGTCAGTGGGGAAGGCTTGCTCTATCCACCTCTCTGGGTTAGCAGTGCCCCAAGGAACCATCTCCTGTAACCATTTCCTTGCCTCAGTATGTATCCTATATCTCTCTTCTGTACTGAAGTGGGATGCTAGTAATTGCATTGTATCACCCCAGGTTGGTCGATGAGTGCAGAAAAATAGTCTCCATGTCCAGTCATGCCCTGGGGTTCCACCGAGTAAGAGGGGGTGTGTTTTTGCCAGTTCAGTATATCGCTTGATGAAAAGGGCTGATAGTAATAGGCTGCAGGAGCTTGGTGATAATTACCGTCTTCCCGTATCATTGGAGGTTGCTGGACTTCTCTGAGGGGCATCTGCAAGGGTATTTTTTCCTCTGGCTCTTTGGCAGAGCGGAGCCTTTGTTTAATTCCAGTGGTTCCTCCCCCTTGTCCAGGAGTACTTAGTGGGAGTTTAGGGAACGTGGTGGCGGCATCCGGGGTGGTAGAGTCCGGTGGGCCCACTGTCCCTCCAGTTGAGGCCGGAGCCTGCCGGGAGGGCGGCGGTGCGGCTCTACAACCTGCGGAGCTGTCGGGACCTTTGAGGAATCCAGGAGGCTTACCAGTCTCGGGCTGGTTCCTCCGGTGACCGCGGTGATACTAGCTGGCAGGATCATCATCCAATACGGCGGTGGGGGAAGCTCATCTCCTTCAGGGT